CAGGTCTGCACACTGTAAGTACATGCCTGGGTCACACTGTATCAAGCCTTGACATTTTTCAAAAGCAGCTAAAGACCATGTGAGTATGAAGGAGGAACTGGGAATCAAATGTGGGGTACTGGGAATCAAACCCGGGTCTTCTGGAAGAGCAGCCAGTGCTTTTAAACTGCCGAGCTGCCTCTTCAGCTCCAACACTATTCTTTAATGAAGAAAGTGCTTCCTGTTACTCTGTACAATTTTGTCTCCCAACAAAGGTTCGCAGTCTCCAGCCCAGGCTGGCCTTGAACCCAAGTTTAGTTCCCAGCACCCATAGCAGGTACTCTAGCTCCAGGGGATCTGGTACCTCTAAGCCTCCATAAGCACCCACACCTTTGTGTATACAGCCATACACAGGGGCACAAGTGCGTGTACAAACGCACACTGACACACATATACTTAAAAATAAAAACAAATCTGTAAACAAACAAATATGGTCAGACTGCAAACTGACCACTTATAGTCTAAGATGGACCAAGAATGAATGAGTTCACAAACATATCCTGCCTTGTTCAAGACTGCTACCCTTGGCAGAAAAGCAAACAGATGTCATTAACATAAATATGCATGGAACTCTAAGACAGGTTCCAACCATCTGCTCACAGCTATCTACTGACCTTGGCTGCCCAGGGTGGAGGCAGCTGTGTGGTAAGTCTCACAGTCCACACAAAACGTTCCTTGTTTCTCTGCTCCCAGCATCTCCAATTTCTTGGTGAGGAGCTCCACTGTCTGCTGGACACTCTTGCCCTCAGCCACAGGCATCTGGGACACACTGAAAAACAGAACCCAAGTCAGCAGGATCCAGAGACACATTTTCTGACTAAGCCACTCAATTTCCCGACAGGTAACAAATCAACAGGGCTAAGGGTTATTTTAGACAACTCTGATCCCCACCCATCATATTTGATAAAGGAAGAGGCCTACAGTCCCCACGAGTTCCTCTAACAGGCAGAGGACAGGTCTCAAGTGTCTTACACTGGGGTAATAAGCTTTCCCACACCAGCATTCCCCAAGAAAGGCCTATGTGTTAACATTTAAGTGATGACCCTAGGTAGTCCACACCGCACTCAGTATCACGGAGCTGTAGTGACTGGGATTGATAGTGTATCGCTGATTATGATTAATCACTGATTATCTGGATACAAGGTCTCCCACAGTGCAGCCAAAGATGACCTTGAGTTCAGTCCATTAAGCCAAGCTAACCTCACTATTACAGTGACCCAGTCTCAGTCTCTTAAGTGCTGGAATTACAGGACACTTGCCTGAGCCCTAGTTCTTAAACTCCTGATCATATCTGTGAGATTCTGTGATTAACTACGGATTAGTGGATAAAACTGCTGGGTAGGACAACACTCCCCCTTTCCTGACAATGTGACCAGCCCCCTCATGCCCCTGTCACCATGCCTTCTGTGTTGTGATGCTATTTGGTCTCAAACAGTGAGACAAAATGAGCCTATCATAAGACGCCTTTGTCAGATACTGTGTCACAGGAGGCTGGTGGATGATGTTCTGGAAACTGCTGACAGAACTTTCCCACAGTCACAGAGTCCCATTAACAGCACTAAGAACAAAAGGAAAGCAGGCTTCAGGTGTATAGGCCTTGAAAAAAAGAAAGAATAGTCTTTGTAAGAACAATTATTTTTGAGGTTTCCACCTTACACTGTAGCCTCAACATGGAGTGGTACATAATTATTGTCAAACACCAGGTATGTGCAAGCTCTGTATGCAGCTTGTCTGTAGGTCTTTAAATCTGCTCACTTTTTGAGACAGGGCCTCACTATCTAGCTCTGTCTGTCCTGGAACTCACTATGCTGGCCTGGAATTCACAGAAATTTGCCTGCCTCTGTCTCCCAAATGATGGGATCAAAGGTATGATCCCTCAGATGGATTGACTGAATCTCCCAAAGGCCCCAGGAACGGTCTTGTCCTGTATCAACTTACTGGAAACAGGGAAACTGAACTCCAAAGCTAAACAATCTGTATAAGGTCATACAGTTACAGACAGCACAGCCAAGACTCAAAAGCCAGGCAACCTGGCTCCTCAGCTGTGTTTTTTAACCACTGTCCTAGGGATGTGGTGACCTGCATATATGTGTGTGTGTGTGTGTGTGTGTGTGTGTGTGTGTGTATTGTTGTTTGTTTTCCAGACAGGATTTCTCTGTGTAACCCTGGCTGTCCTGGAACTCACTCTATAGATCAAAGCCAAGGCTAGCTCTGAACTCAGAGATCTGGTTGCCTCTGCTTCCTGAGTGCTGGGACTAAAGGCATATGCCACCACACCTGGTGACAGGGGGCTCACACTGAAGCCAATACTGACCTGAAATGGATGACCTGGTTAGCCCAAGCTGACCTCACATTTCCAGCAGGCAATCCTTCTGCTGTTTAGCCTCCCATATGCTTGGATTATAGGAGTGCACTTGGCTGAGACCTATTTCTTGAACAGTGATTTAAAAAAAAAAAAACACTGACGGTATTTAAATGTTTGAAAATGTCAAAGCTTTTTCTAAACTAATGTTTTAAAATTCTCATGTTAATTTATGATCAATCAATTAGAAAAAATCTATTCAGGGAGAGCCCTACCATTACTTAAAAAAACTGTTCCAATTACTAAACTGATACTATGACAGAAATTCTGGGATTCTGAGAAAGTTGAACCGATACTAATAAGCAAGGAGCCCTTTTCCCAGGGACTGCTTTCTCTACACAAAGAACTCAGGGAGGGCAGGCATTGGTGGAGCACTCCTGTAATCCCAGGGTGCAAGAGGCAGAGGCAGGTGATTCCAAGTTACATACTAGCCTGGGCTACGCAGCCCATAAAGGTGGGCATGGTAGGTCTCAATGACTCTAATGTGATCTATTTTCATTGCTGACAGGCATTCTTTACAGTAGGTACGGTAGGGTAGAAGGCCCAGATGACACTCCTATTGCTCCTATTGCAGTTCCTAAAAAGCCTGCGAGAGCCTTCCTTTCTCAGAGCAGACCTGTGGCCCCTGACTTTCCCCAACACTGTCCTCCAAGCTTAAACTGGAAAGAAGTGCACCACTCCCAAGATTTTAGGTGCCGAGGCCTAGTACTTTGAAACTAATACCCAGAAAAGCACGGTGCCCAAACCTTACCAACTGCCTCTTTTTTTTTTCAAGTGAGACTTAAAACATTTTTTTGTTTGGTTGGTTGGTTGGTTTTTAGAGACAGGGTTTCTCTATGTAGTCCTGCCTGTCCTGGAACTCACTCTGTAGACCAGGCTGGCCTCGAACACAGAAATCCGCCTGCCTCTGCCTCCCAAGTGCTGGGATTAAAGGCGTGCGCCACCACCGCCCGGAGAGACTTAAAACATTAAAAACTTTGGGTCCTACTAGCGACAGTACAAGGCCTCAAGGACAGGAAGAGGTACCAAGAAAAAGAAGGTACAACAACTCCTGGCGGGTTCTTCGGATAAAGTGCTCTATTTGCCAAAGGGGTGTGTCTGGGAAGGGAGAAGTTCCACACAGCGCCCCCTGATCCACACAACCCGAGGACATCTTGGTCAGCCTCCGAGGAACCGAGAACCTCGGTCAAAATCCCCTTCCCCGGGCCATTACAGGCTCACAGACACCTTCACAACCCCATGCTCCGCACCACAGAAGCCCTTCAAGTCCTACCATGTCACTCCCATGATGAAGGGTCAAAACGTGTCACCTCCAAACACTCGAACGCAGAGAATCCAGACCTTAGCACGAACGGCAGCCCCCCAAACACAGGAAACGGTCGTTGACCGGCCTCCGGAAATGCGTAAATACTGAGCGCCAGGGCGACACGCCCACAGGGAAGGCATCTCCGGATACCCAGGGGTGACATTTCTAGTACGTCATCGACTCGGCTCCGCCCCCAAGACATACAGCGAGTTGACAGGACGCCTTAGGCTACCTTTATGAATTCTGGAAAAGGTAACTTGGACATCTACCTCTTTCAATGAGATTACCTGAGAATTTGGGGATTCCTGCTCCAGGTCCCGAAGCTCTTCTAGAGATAATGACATATGAGGAACTTCCGGCCTCCGAACGCTGGGGGGCACTGTAATCTCTCAGTGACCTCTTGGAAACCGGAATACAAGGCGCAAGCGCAGTCTCGGCTTTTAGCCGGCTTCACACGTGTAGATCTTGTGGGTAAGTTTTTCGACAAAAATGCCCAAATTAAAGGTGACACGTGTTGCCAAAAATCAGGAGAGGCATGCACCTCTGGCCGACCAGATTCTGGCTGGGGACGCAGTGCGCGCGGGGACCCGAGAAAAGCGGCGGGGACACGGGGTCGAAGAGGAGGAAGAGTATGTGGGACCCCGGCTGAGCAGACGGATTTTGCAGCAAGCCCGGCAGCAGCAGGAGGAGCTCGAGACTGAACATGGGACAGGAGATCGGCCAGCAAAACCGCGAGAGCGCGCCACGCGGCTGGGTGAGTGAAGCGGTGGGTTGGGCCCGTCGAACACTCTTCATCAGAATACTGGGCTGGAATTAAAAAGAGTAGGCGGCTTTACATTCCCTCGTGGTCCTTCACTTCCACTCCTGGGTTCCGGAACCCAGAGTTAAGCCAACAGAAATTGATTTCTCAAGCCAGTTCTAGCATTTATTTATTCTCTGGGCGTTTGAAGTATTTGTGGGCTGCCTGCGTAATATGCTTGAACTGCGTTGTTTTTTAGGCAGTTCTGATACAGAAATAAGATATTCGTCCTTCCTGATAGCACCTCAAGTCTATCCTGAAGTCTAGCTCAAGGCACACATTCAAAAGATAATTAAAGCTATATATTCCAGGCAGGCAGGAGCGGCGATGCTTTCATGTAATCCCAGCACTCGAGAAGCAAGGCAGAAGGCTTTCTTGGCTATGTAGTTAAATTCCAGATTAACTTGAACTACGTGGTAGAGCCCTGTCTCTCAAGAGAGAGGGGAAAAATTATATTTCTATTTATTTAAACAAAGACGTTAATTCTATATGGTGGGTATACCAAGTTTCATGTCCTACTAAAACCTGAAAAGCAAGTGGGGAATGTTCCAGCGATGGGGGAGGGAAACAGTATTGTTTAGAAGCTAACAAGGGGGAGAGATGGATGGGTAGGTGCTTGCTACCTGTCTCACTGAGGGGGAACTGCTGTTGATCTCCAGTTGCTTAATCTTCTTTGTCCTAAAAGCAGATTGGACACATTTGAATACGGCTTTAGGATTACAGCAGCTTCTCTGCTTTCTTTTAGATTTTTTGAAGTAAAGGGTCATGGAACCCAGGATGGCCTCAAACTCTCTGTAGGGGAGGATGACCTTGAACTCCTGATCTTGCCTCTGTTTTCCAAGTGGTGACATTCTAGGTGTTTGACAGCACACCTTCTCTTAAAAACTTTTTCTTAGCCAAGCAGTGGTGGCGCACGCTTTTAATCTCAGCACTTGGGAGGCAGAGGCAGGCGGATTTCTGAGTACGAGGCCAGCCTAGTCTACAGAGTGAGTTCCAGGACAGCCAGGGCTATACAGAGAAACCCTGTTTCAGAAACAAAACAAAAAAAAAAAAAAAAACTTTTTCTTTAACTATGAGACCGGATCTCCTTAAGTTGTTCAACCTGGACTTGTACTTGCTGGGTGACCACGGCAGGACTTGAACTTTTGGCTCCTTCTGTGACGCTGACAGTAAACTTCACTTTGAAGCCATCTGTTTGATGGCTACTTCCAGCTTTTTCTCCACCTGGTTCTTCCAAGAAAACTCACATCTTTATATCCAGTGATCTACCTGAGATCTCCAAGTTGAAGACTAGTATCTGTCTCTAGTAAGAATGCATCCAAAACAGAAGCCGTGACCTCCTCCCCAAGCCTGCTCTCTGTTTGCTACACAGAGTTTGTTAGCGGGTTAACCTTCCACTGCTCAAGGCAGAATCCAGGGCTCCTCTTTCTCACTGTACAGTAAGTCCTGATGATGCTGTCTTTAGAGTATATCCAGAACCAGGCCACTTCCCATTAACCTCACACACCGCCTGTTCAAGCTGCCAGTCTCTCCCCTGAATCGCAGCGGTGGCAGGAACATCCTAATTTGTGTTCTGTGGTCCATTCAGCAGCTGGAAATCTACGGCATCCTGTCTAGTGTCTCTGTTTCGGGTCTGACCACAAACTAGGGAGGGAATAAGATAATTCAGCTGGTGAGGTACATGCTTTGAGAGCATGAGGCCCTGACTTCCACTCACAGCAGCTCGTAGTCCCAGAGCTACTGTATTGAAGACAGATCTTCTGGGCCCACTGGGCAACCAGTCTAGCCTAATCAGCCAACCCCAGGTCCCCAGCCAGACCCTGTTTCAAAAACAAGGTCAAAAAAAAAAAAAAAGCCAGGCAGTAGTGGCGCAGGCCTTTAATCCCAGCACTTGGGAGGTAGAGGCAGGCGGATTTCTGAGTTCGAGGTCAGCCTGGTCTACAGAGTGAGTTCTAGGACAGCCAGGGATACACAGAGAAACTCTGTCTCGAAAAACAAAAACAAACAAACAAAAAACCAAGGTCATCAGCTTCTGAAGAATAACAGTCAAGATTCACTTATGGCCTCCATGATGAAAGGGTTCACTCATATACAAAAAGCAAATAATAATAACAACAACAAAACACCCCACAGATGTCAGCTTCTGTCTCCTAATTGCTCCGTTTCCCTACTTGTTTCATAGCACTTTCTCCTTTTGTTTAACGTGTACTTTGTGTGCATGTGCGTGGCATGATGTGTGTAGAGAACAGGAAACTCTCAAGAATTGGTCCTCAGCTCTTCAGAACAGTTGTTCTTGCAGAAGACCCGGGTTTGGTTTCTGGCATTCATATGGCAGGCTACAGCTGTCTGTAACTCCAATCACAAGGGATCAGATGCCATCTTCTGATTTCATCAGACACCAGGCACACTTGTGCACGGACATACATGCCTTCAGCACTCACATACTTAAAGTAAAATAAATAAATCTAAAAAAAAAAAAAACCCAACAACCTTGACTCTCCCTGTAGGTGCTCCGTGTGCTCCCTTAATCCACTTCCATAGCGGACGACCTGTTGCTACGCAGTGTTTCTACTCCTTTGGTTCATTAGGCTCTTTCTCAGCTGCCTTTCCAGCTATGTGTGGTGTTCCAAAAGTCAGCCAGTTGTATTAGCATATGACTTTAATCCCAGCACTCAGGAAGCACCCAGCCAAGGCTACATGGTCAAGACCTCAGGATATGGCAGAAATGTCCCGACCCACCTATCGCCCAAGCAAGGACACAGAGACCTTTCATTAATTATGAAAGCTTGGCCTCAGCTGGCTTGTTCCCAACTAGCTCATACAACTTAACCCATTATTTATACTGTTGTATGTTGAACCATGTGGCTCGTTACCACTCCTCAGTACCAGCACTTCTGTCCCAGAGTTCCTATCTCTGACCGGAAGTCCCATCTATACGCTCCTGCTTTGCTATAGGTCAGTCAGCTCTTGATTAGACCAGTCGGAAGGTGCTGGAGAAGGTGTTTACACAACACCCCAGACGGATGATGCTTCGTGAAAACAACAGTGCCAGCTGTACTCGGCTCTCTGCTGTTACAGTGTGAATAATGCAAAGGCAACCTTTACACAGAACACAAGGTTATCCCCACAGCAGGAGCTCAGAGTTAAGCACTGTGGCTCGTGTTTGTAATTCCAGCACTTGGCAAGTGGAGGCATGAGAACAAGGAACTCCGAGTCATCCTTGACCACCTAAGTCAGTTGGTCAGAGTCTGGATGCCAGTGTCCAACCTTGAGAGCCTTCCAGATGGGCTTTACATTTCCTGTCTGGCTCTACGGTCCTGCTTGTGGCTCTAGCTCCTTAGCGCGCGACACTCTAACAGCATCACTTTCCAGGATGCGGAGCCTCGTCAGCCTCCGTACTCACCTGAGTGCCAGTGGTACACACTGCCTCTACCGTGGGTTTAGTTTTAGCACATGGTACAGCTCTACTGTGCCAGCAACATAGTAGGAAGTCAGGGCCCAAACTGCCTACTGTGGGCGCATCAACTTTTCTGTCCCACTTTGAACTGGGTACAACGATAGTACCTGTTCCTTGAGGTCGTCTGGATTACACGTGTGTAGTATAGAACAGATCCTTCTAGATCACTGAGGGTTACATACCGTCCGTTATTGCCATCATCATCTCTTGCTTCCTGTGCTGTATTTTGTCTCAAGACTCCAAATCTCTGGGAACAAAAGGATAGTCTGTAACTCTTCCTGCTCCTTCCCTGTGCACATGTGTCCTTTCTGCACCCTGGGCGTGCGGTACATGGAATGGTAAACTGACTCAGAAGCCCCTGCTCACCGTGACTCTTTTGTCTTGTCTTTCCTCTTTTAGGGCCGGGAGTGCCACAGGATGGATCAGATGAAGAAGATGAGGAATGGCCTACCCTGGAGAAGGCGGCCAAAATGACCGGGGTGGACCACCAGGCAGAGGTGGTCGTGGACCCTGAAGATGAGCGTGCCATTGAAATGTTCATGAACAAGAACCCTCCTGTCAGGTAGGGCTTAAAGGTTGGGACAGTGGACCCTGGTAGGAAGTTCCCAGAGACCACAGCTGCTGGTCTGACCATTGCCAACAGTGGCCTCCTAAATGGGAGTGACCCAGATTCAAAACATCTCCCCTTGATCCATCTGATAGAGAACTTCTAGATCACCCAGTTCCTTGTTAGGGACCCATTCTGGTTTTTATTCTTGGTACGTTACTCTCATAACTTAGTCTTTAATTCAGGGCTTTCGCTCTCAGTCACGGTGTTTGGGCCCAATGCCTCTCTTTCTGTGTGGAAGCTGGAACCCAAGGATCTTTATCAGCTGTCTCTGACACCTCCCCTCTTGAGACCAATAGTGAAAAGTTATTCCAGGAATTGCCAAATGTTCCCAGGGAGTTAAACCTACCTCTAGGTAGAACCACAAACGTATCCCTATGCAGTATAAATGCTACTTCCAGACATGCAGTTGTTTAGGCTGCCTGTGGTCAGATTCTTGAGCAGATGGATCTGGCCTGGTTGAGAAGAGTGGGTTTAGGGCAAAGGGTCTCAAGCAGTTTATCCTTCAGAGTGTGGTGTAGTATGCCTCTTATCATTAATAATACTGGGATGGGCAGGTTGGGTCCAGAGAACAGAAGAAAAGCCCTCTCCCAGGAGGGTGTCTGACAGCTCTGATAATGGTCACCAAGTGTGGATGTGGGCCGTCTGCCTGCCTGTCCCCCAAAGGGCTCTCAGGCAGCGCTCGTACCTGGTGGTGGCTCTTGATCCTGACAGGTTTAGCAGAATGTTTTCTGCAATTTGCTATAAGGAAGTGACAAGATGGTGAAAATGGGGACTCTGGACACTATTGAGCACTGGCTGCTGGCATTTTCAGAAACCAGGCTAAGGTCTCTGGGAGCACAGCGGTTAGGCTGTGTTATCTAAGGCACACTGAAGGTGCTGTGAGACTCCCAAACTAGAAGTTGAAAGACTTAAATTTTACCCTGTCCCTGAGGAAAGCCTCGAGGGCTGAGGTGAGTTGCTGACCTCTGAGGTCCCCAGGCCTGCGCGGGGTGGGGGAATAAAAGCACCTGCCACCAGTGTCATGCAGACCAAGTCTTCAAAGTCTCAGATTCAGTGCTGCCTGGCACAGAAAAAGACAGCAGAGAAACTTTTTCCCCTTGTGCTGGAAGCTAGAACCCAGGGTAATGCCTTGTCAGGCATTACTGTGTGAGTGACACCCCAATACGGGGCAATTTGAAGTCACATCAGCGGCCCCTGGAGATGCCGTTAGCACACCACAGCCTACTACATTGGTAATTTTCTTAGAACTTTTTTTTCCTTTCTTTTATGGGTATGAGTATTTTGCCTGTATGTATGTACATCTCGTGCATGCCCAGTACCCGTGAAGGTCAGAAGAACTAGAACTGGAGTTACTGGTGGTTGCAAGTGACTCTGTAGATGATGGGAACCAAACCCATTCTCTACGAGAGATCTTAACCGTTGAGCCGGCTCTCCAGCCCACGGTGGCAGTAATTTTAACTCCTCATTTGACAGCTTCTGTTTAAAGAGGCTGAAACGGCAAAGGCAGCAGGATGGCTCAGTGTGTGGGGTGTGCGTCTGCACAAGCCTGGTGAGCTGACACCGATCCCAGCTACTCACTTAGAGGGATAATTGACAGAGGCTGAGAAGGATGCAGTTGGTCCTAGGACCGTTTGTACGGTAAGCGGAAAGAAGGAAGGAAGCTACCTGGAGTCTCGGCAGGTAATGGAGATGTGCGGCGCACCCACAGGCCAGAGCTCCAGTGATCTGTATCTCGTCTGTCTTTGGTTTTTCAAGACAGGATTTCTTCGTGTAGTCTTGACCATCCTGGAACTCACTTTGACTAGACTGGCCTTGAACTCACAAAGATCCGCCTGCTTCTGCCTTCTGAGTGCTGGGATCAAAGGTGTGTGCCACCACTGCCTGGCACAGAGCTCCAGCTTGTACTCAGAAGTTGCTCTCCATTCTACGAGCAGTGTTAGGTGTGCTTGAAGTAGCACCCCTCAGTACATGCTGGCTCTGTTTGAGAGTTCTGCGTGCAGGCATATGCAACTACCCTTTAGCTGACTGTCCAGGGTAGTCTCTTTACTGTCGCCACTTTACAGATGAGGAAACTGAGGCATAGAGGAGTCAAGTGACAGGCCAAGATCATACAGGGGATAGAAGAGCCAGGGCTGACTTCAGAGTCCAAGTGCCTGATGTCCCCGCTACTGCTGGCTCTGTCTCAAGTGCAGAGACATCCGGGCCCTGTGCTCTCTGCAGCGCTTTGTGGTGGCTGAATGGACGTAGAGAAGAGCTGAGGCTGTGATCCCAGCAGGATCGAGATTTGTCAGCATCTGGGGGAACTGCACGGTGCTCGCTTCTGGCATCACTTATGCTAAAATTGGAACAGTGACAGACCATCGTCTGGCCCCAGTGCAAGGATGTCGTGCAAGTTTGTGAAGCATTCTTGTATTTTTGGGGGGGCTGTTTTGTGACTCTTTTTTTTTCCCCTTTGAGGCAGGGTCTCATTGTGTACTCCTGACTGGCCTGTATCTCCCTATGACGACCACCACACTGGCCTTGAACTCACAAAGATCTGCCTGCCTCCCGAGTATTGGGATTAAAGGCTTCTGCCACCACGACTGGCTTTCTCTTTTAATAAACAGGGGCCGGGCAGTGGTGGTGATACCATTAAGTCCAGCACTCAGGAGGCAGAGGCAGGGGGATCTCTGAGTTTGAGGTCAGCCTGGTCTCCAGAGCCAGTTCCAGGACAGCCAGGGCTACACACAGAAACACTGTGTCAAAAACAGAAACAAAAAAGTACACAAACAGGGTGAGGGGACTTTACAGCTTCATGGAAAGTGACCCTAATCCTTTACGCTTCTTTCCCTGTATCTCCGCAGGCGCACCCTGGCCGACATCATTATGGAGAAGCTGACTGAGAAGCAGACGGAGGTGGAGACTGTCATGTCAGAGGTGTCGGGCTTCCCTATGCCCCAGCTGGATCCCCGGGTCCTGGAAGTCTACAGAGGAGTCCGGGAGGTGAGAGCTAAGAGGGCGTGTATGGTGGGGCACCCTGACTCGGAGTGGGCTCTCATCCATGGCCCCCACCCAATAAGCCACTATGAAGAAGGACAGGATTGGGGCAGAGCTGGCAGGCTTGGGTTGTTGCACTGCCTCTTCCTGACCCTGGAAGTCCACCAAACGAGGTCACCTAGAGAATGGGTCTTTCTGGATTGTTCTGGACATGAGTGACACAGTTCATGAGACAGTGACGGGGCCAGGACCTGGAGCATGGTTTGGTGATTTTGCTTCCCTCGTCCCCAGGTATTATGTAAGTACCGCAGTGGGAAACTACCCAAGGCCTTTAAGATCATCCCTGCACTGTCCAACTGGGAGCAGATCCTCTACATCACTGAACCTGAGGCCTGGACTGCAGCCTCCATGTATCAAGCCACCAGGTAGCAGAGCTGGCCGGGTGGCAGGGTGTGGGGCGCGCGGGGTGCTCAGGCTCTGCCGCCGCCGTCGCCGTGCACTGGCCCATTGCTCTCCTTTGCTCTTGGGTTTCTCGTGACCGAGTCCTGAGATACATGTCAGTGGGAGGGGCTCTTCACGTCCGTGCTCCGTGTTACAGCTCTGCTGTGGGAGAGGAGCTTTACAGTTCTGATTCTCCTGAGCAGCACAAACTAGCTAAAGGTGCCCAGCTTAATACACGCAGGGCGGCTCCACCCACAGCAATTTTAAGAAAAACACAAGGGGCTGGAGAGATGGCTCAGCTGTTAAGAGCACCTGTTCATCTAGAGGATCTAGGTTCGATTCCCAGCACCCACATGGTGACTCACAACATCTCCAGCTCCGGGAGATCTGATTTTTCTTCTGGCCTCCATGGGCACCGGGCACATACACTGTGCATAGGCACACATGGCATACATGCAGGCAAAACACAGGCACACGCGCGCACGCACACATGACACAGAGAGATAGTATGTGCTTGGATTGGGTACATCTATAGTTGTGCTGTCTTTAAGCTGACCTGGATGTGTGTGCACACAAGTCCCACACACCCTTTCTGAAATTCTCGAATCCACCATCCATGGTGATACTTAAAGGGCCAGGGCCAGGCTCTCTTGTGACTTGGAAACTTGCACCTTGCTAGGATCTTTGCCTCTAACCTGAAGGAGCGCATGGCTCAGCGCTTCTACAACCTTGTCCTGCTTCCCCGAGTCCGAGATGACATCGCTGAATACAAACGACTCAACTTCCACCTCTACATGGCTCTCAAGAAGGCCCTGTTCAAGCCCGGAGCCTGGTTCAAAGGTGAGAGCACAGAAACCAGGGAGAGCGGAGGGGCTGGAGCTCTGGCTTGGTGAACGGCCGTACCCCATTGGTGGTCCTAGGTGACTCACCACCGACTGAAAGCATCTGACTCTGCCTAGGAATCCTGATCCCGCTGTGTGAGTCCGGCACCTGTACTCTCCGAGAAGCCATCATCGTGGGCAGCATCCTCACCAAGTGCTCCATCCCTGTGCTGCACTCCAGGTAGCGGTGGTGAGCTGCAGGAGGACTGGTCAGCGGCGAGCCAGGGAATAGAGCTAGAACGTGGGCATGAGGGTACCAATCTCGAGTCTGAGGCTTGTCTATGCCACTGGGTGTCTGATTACTCCAGCAGGACAGTAGGTCTTCAAGAGCAGGGTCCAGGGGCCTGGTACACAGTAGGTACTCAGTAAATAATTGACTGACTGTGTGAATGGACATCTAGGAAATAAGTGTGCTAAAAGGTGGGGGTGGTGAGACATCTGGACATGCTCTGTAGTTAAATATGGCAGGTGCTTGCTGTCCAAGCCAGAGCAGAGGTGTGGGCGGACAGACACAGATGGTAAAGAGGATCTCACGAGTATAGTAATGAATAAACAAGCAGCCTGTGGTGGTCCCCTTGGGAACGCTGTGCGAAAGGCTCAGTCTTGGGAGAGGACCTTCCCACTCTCATGGGTGTGGCCTAATTCCCATGATTCCACCTTCCCTCTCAGTGCAGCCATGCTGAAGATAGCTGAGATGGAATACAGCGGGGCCAACAGCATCTTCCTGCGCCTGCTGCTGGATAAGAAGTATGCATTGCCCTACCGGGTGCTTGACGCTCTGGTCTTCCATTTTCTTGCCTTCCGGACGGAGACGCGTCAGCTGCCCGTGCTCTGGCACCAGTGCCTGCTGACACTAGCACAGCGCTACAAGGCTGACCTGGCCACAGAGCAGAAGGAGGCCCTCCTGGAACTGCTTCGGCTGCAGCCCCACCCACAGCTGTCCCCTGAAATCAGACGTGAGCTTCAGAGTGCAGTCCCCAGAGACGTGGAAGATGTTGCTGTCACCATGGAATGAGAACAATCACCTGTGTTGGTCCAGGAGGCATGGGAGGACACCAGGACCCTGACTGGTGTAGTTAAAAGACATAGGTCAAGACACTTAAGGGTGACTATGGCATCCGTGGCTCCAGTCCTGGGCAAGAGGACTGCATCTGGTGACTTTCTTTGCCATTTTAGGCTTTGGTCCCTGCTCACTTCTGGAAGTTAACTGGAGTTACCCCAATTCAGCACTCCCACACCCCACCTGGCACTTGGTATAAGGGGTGCTCTCTCCAGATACTGTGAAAGCATACTGGCGTGCGGAGAAAACAAAGGCGGTTGTTTATTGCAGCTCTTGTGTTTTGGTCCCTGGAGGTTCCTGCGTCCCCCTTTAGGGAGAGGCAGGAGTCACTGCTGGCTCTTCCCTGTTCCCTGCTCAGAGGAGTGACCCCTCAACCCACCTTACTCTACAGAGCTGTCTCTCTAGACTCTTGCTTCCTTTGTTCTCCAAAGGAAGTGTGTGTGTGTGTGTGCGCATGTGTGTGCGCCCACGCGCGCTCGACTCTTAACATGACAGTCATGGGTGACTTTAGGGACACCAGTTTCTGCCGCCATATTGGGACAGTGTCTGTTGGGAAAGCGAAGTGATGGTTGTTGGCTGTCAGAGAAGACTACATCTCAGGAGCAGACCCTTGCTAGGGGACAGTGACACAACAGACTAAGGGACAAAATGAAATGCCTCCTAGTTTTCTGAGCAACCAGAGCTTCAGGCTGGCCGACAAGCCAGGTCAGGTGCCTGTGTCTGCACAACTCCTGAGTAGAGCGCAGTGTCTGGTTAAGTTTTGGTTTTCTGAGATAGGGTTCCCCTGTATATCCTTATCTGTCCTGGAACTTGCTCTGTAGACAAGGCTGGCCTTGAACTCAGCAATCCACTTGCCTGAGATGGCTCAGCTGTTAAAGGCTAGGCTCACAATCTTTGCATTTTTTAATGACCTGAGAAAATTTGTATGAAATTTTAGTAGCAGCCAGCCATGGATCTGTAAATTTGAGGCCAGCCACTGCTAGCTGTACAGCGAAACCCTATCTCACCCAAAATAACCACGCCCACGCCCCCCAGACCGTTGTATCACAGCTGAGTAAATTGAAGTCATCCTGCTATATATATCAAAGTGTGTCTGTGCCGGGCGGTGGTGGCGCACGCCTTTACTCCCAGCACTTGGGAGGCAGAGGCAGGTGGATTTCTGAGTTCGAGGCCAGCCTGGTCTACAGAGTGAGTTCCAGGACAGCCAGGGCTACACAGAGAAACCCTGTCTCGGAAAAAAAAAAGAAAGTGTGTCTGTAACAACCCAGTTTGTATATCTGTTTAGATCCACTGAGTTCACGTTTTTGCTTGCTCACACGGTAGTTCATCTTGGAAACATGAGGTAACTGCAGAGAACTGCACGTAGCTCAGCCCAACCAGATTACTGCACACACTCCCAGCTCTCAGTTTGCTACTTTGCAGTGCTGAGGATGGGAACAAGGCCTGCCTCCTGGCTAGGGGAAGTGCTTCCAGCCACACCCTAACCCCATTCATCCGGTTTTGTTTTTGCAGTGCATTATGAGCTTTGTGCCTGCACAGCCTCAGATCCTGAGACTGGAGTTGAGTGCTGAGAGTTAAACCCAGGTTCTCAGGAGTAGCCTGTGCTCAGCTGCTGAGCCACCGTTCTTTCACATGTAGTACAGGTTAGCCTAAAACAACTTCCTTTCCCCCTCAGTGCTAGGGAATATTGCCATCATGCATAAGTACATCAAAATCATGTGGTTTTATGTAAAACTGTCCAGTCCTGTTTCCCATGAGCCCTCTGGGTTATGGTTGCTACTCCTTGGCACTATAATTTGCGCATAGGTAAAGCAGGCCATGCTGCCTGAGCAGTCCCTTGCAGACCCTAATGCTCTGCCTGAGATGTCTGACTCGTGGCTCCCCGCTCTACACGAATCCCAGGAATCACAAGAGACAGCTTTACTCCGAAATCTTTATTAAGGCAGCATGATAGAAATGGGCCACCAGCCCAAACCTTGTGGCCTGAGGAAAGACCTGTGTCCATAGGGCTTGCCCTTCCTCCAGATAGCTCAGTCACCTCCACAGCATCCACCCGTCCCTACTTAAAAACCCTCTCCACTAGGGATGAGGTGGAGGGCTAAGGAGAGGAAGGCATGACCCCATCCCAGGCTGTAGCAGCTCCTGGGCCACAAAGCGGTTAGCAGAGGGGAGGGGAGGGGAACAGCAACCGCCAGGGTTACCACCACTTGTGGGGTACAGGCCTCACTGTACCCTCTTACAGTTGTATTCAAAGCAATAAATTAAAATGACCTTCAGCACCCCTCAAGACCCCTCAATCACAGAAGCTGAGCGGGAAGCAAAGCAACAATTTATGGGTTCTTGCTCTTCTGGCCAAGGCCTAAGCTGTTCCCTCTAAGAGCAGCTAGAGCACTGATTACATACACAGCGGCCATCTAGGTTGGCACCTCCTACGTGTCTATCAGGATGTCTGAAGGACCCGAATCCAAATGCAATGACCCTGCGAGGGGCAACACCTTTGGAAGGTACTGGGGCGTTTTGGCAACAGAGAAGGTTGGAGCCCCAGACAGGAGGGACTCAAAAGAAATGCTGGTGTGTAGATTTGACCTGTTTGTATTTCTCTGACCATCATGGCCCAGGACAGCCAAGCTGGTTGAGTGGGAAGGAAGAGGAGCTGACTGGCCACGGAGACACCCTCATGACCAAGCAACCCCTTAGTGCACACTGTGGGGATAGGCAGGACCTGGCCCCTTGGGCTTTGTGAGGGGAAGGAGAGCCCCCCCCCTCGGGCTTCAGATATGGCATGGATTGTTCTAGAGGCAGGGAGGGGGTGGCAGTGGCCCCTCCTCTGCTTGGTGGCCACCTGAGGGGGCCTGTCCCAAGCTACAGGTGGATAGCTGTGACATCTGTGGGAGTGCTGGTCTGACTGGGCCCCTGGCTGCTCGAGCCCCGGGGGGCTTTGGGCACAGGGCTGGGGGCTGTCTGGGCAGCTTCCTGAAGGCTCTCCCTGAGGGCAGCTTCAATCTGCTCCTGGCAGGCACGCAGGCAGTCCTAGGAAGGAAAAACAAGATCATTCGGTTGATGGGCCTCTCTCCCCCCACAGCACTGACAGCAGGCAGGTGGAAAGAAAAGGCCACCCCCTGCGCACCGGGAAGTCTGAGGAGGTTAGGCCACAGCCCGGCCCAGGAATCGGGTCTTTAGTTCTCAGAAACTGGCAAGAGGATGTGGCAAGGGTGTGAGAGTAACCCTACATCTGACACCAGGTCCCCCACCCCTGGCCGCGGCACAGCACTTGTTGAGAGAAAGGGGCATCTACATGCAAGTGTCCTTCACCCCACCCACTCCTCTTCAAGACGGGAGCAGGAGATAAAAGCCAGAGAAGCCGGCAGGGGCATACAATCCGGGTTGGGGGGGTGCCGCCCTCTGCTGGGGATTCAGGGGAATAGCATTGGTTTTTGTGAAGGGCCTGAGACTTACCACTTCAGTGCCTGTGATTCCAGCCAGCAACTCTGTGAGCTCATCTGCAGACATGGAGCAGGCACCGAGGCCTAGCACTGCAGCCCCAATGCTGCCCGTGGCGATCATGGATGGAGGGTACATCGCAAAGGTGTAATCTTGTAAAAGAGAGGGAACCATGAGAAGAAAGCCATCTTAGACGTCCTACGACTCCCTACAACACACGAGACTGCATGAAGACAGCATACTGGGAACCCCCAGTGGTGGATGGAGTGACACAGAGCCAAGGGGAGAAAGCAGACCCTCGGGAGGAGCGGGTTCGGTGTGTGCTCGCGGAGCTGGCAGTTTGACTGAGGAATGCAGCCATCACTGAACCACTATACCCCAGCCCAACCTTCTCTGAGATATGAGCAAACAGCAAACTTTCCATCTACCCCAGCTGTACCTGACCAGTAACTAGAAAATAGCCAAAACCCTGCCTGGTATGAAGACCTTAGGCAAGTAACTACTATTCCCAGATCACCACACACAGAGCTTTGAGTACTGAAACAATCTCCTGGCTGCTACTACATATCCTCCCCAAAATATAATTTCCCCAGGTTGGCTCTTACCTGTAGCACAGAGGGCCAAAAACGTCTGAGCATGCTTTTTGACCAAGGCCTGCCGGTCACTGGGCAGAGAGAGGCGGTGCAGAATCAGGGCCAGGAAGTCATGAGCAATCACAGCAGCTAGATCCCACTTGAGTTTTCCCAAGACCAGCACCTCCCATTCCTGGGGGTTAGGAAATGAATGTGCAGTCAGTGGCCAGCAAAGGGGCCGAGAACTGGACAGAAGATTCATAGTTCTGCCTCTGCCGCTGCGGAATGATGGGTTGGGGGCAGGGAAGATCTAGGGGCACGCACTTAAGCATCTATTGACTGTTACCAGGTGCTTGAATGACACGAGAATTTTCCCTCTTGATCCTCCCGTGCGTCTGAGGCTGGCGGGAGTTGAGACAGATAAACTCTAAATTCCACAGGCTTCGGGAATCTTTTCTTCCCCAACATCGCAGCCAGGTCTCTTAAACAGACCGAGCATGAGGCCACTCCTAAGGTTCCTCAAAGAGGAGGTTGCCCAACCCAACCCACACCCCCTTTGTGGGACATCATGGGTGGGTCTGGTCTCAAGACGAGGGAGTCCAAGCCAAACAGGATGAATCCAGATGACCCCTGAGAAACCTGCCCAAGCCTACGTAACCATTAAGAAGTCTTAAGAGGAGGCTAGGAGCGCCAACCCCAGTCTACTCAACCGAAGTCCGAGACCTGGCCTAAGCTGCACTTCCGAGTTGCACACAGGAGGATTTCTTCATTGTTTTATCTCAGGAAGGAACTCATGAGTTTGACTCCTCACTGAGGTAGAAATGACAGCCCCACCCAGCCTCTTCCAGGCCCCCAGCAACAGCTGTCCTTCTCTTTGTCCCATGACCTAGGTGTCAGCCCCAGGCTTCTTACAGGACCCCAGAGAAACAGCCTGGGCTAGTGCCAAAAATAAGACAAGGAAGCTTGAATTTTGCACCCAGGGCTCTGCCCTGATAACCAAATAGCATCCAGCCTCTAAGAGAGCACTCAAAGGGAATCAGGAATGTGTGGGGTCCTCACTAGGTGGGCACCCTCCCCCATATCCAGACAACATGAAAATCCTAGCCCTACTCCAAGAACATAGTAGCTGGCAGCATACAACTCATCCCTGGTTTTAAGGCGCTCTGTCTGGTCGGAATTTTCCCCTCCTTTCTGGGGCCTCTGCTCTGCTGTGTGGATTGAGACTGCTGGAGTTCTTGGAGTCCCTCAGACTCTGA